AAAGTATTTAAAAAAAAATTTTTAAGTAACTTACCAAGATAGCCTATAACATTTTTCCCTCTTTCGTGCTTGTTCTATATAACTCATTTTAAGAATACCATCTTTAGGCATTTTGAATTTAATAACACCAAACTCCCCTAATAATTATATAATTAATTAAATTAAAATTAGGAAATAAATTCTGTGTGAGTCATAGAAAAAAAAAAATATAAAAAAAAAATCTACGTGTTTCTTCTTCTAAAAAAAATTAAATATTACCAAGTTTTCCATATGCAGTTTGTTCTATTGTTATATTAGAATCATCCGGGGTATATCCAGCTTTTAATAGAGCACCAAGGCAAGCATTATTAACTATATCCATTGCTAAATTTCTAAACTCATCTAACTTATCTCTAAGTAATTCTAGTTTTGTAAACTATAAATAAATATTTCAAAGATTAGAAATATATTATTTATTATTAAAGATGGTAATATTTATTATCATCATTAAAGATATGTCAAAATATTGTACGGAATATCAGAATGATTCTTACTTCATTTTTCTATAAAATGAAAATATCTCTCAGAAAGTGAATATTTTTAAAAAATTTCTGGAAATTTTATAAAAAATGAAGATATAAATGATAAAAAATATTTTTCATATCATTCTAATATAATATATGCACATATTCATGAAACATCTTTGGTATATCGATTCTAAAGGCCAAAACGAACACAAAAGTTGATATTGCAAAAATATCATTTAAAGCTTATTTATTAAATTATAAACAATTTAAATTAACTTTACATGAAATAAACCGAAAATAGATAATTCTATCTTCATTACACAGCCATATTCTATTTTCGTCTTGTTTCACTTAACATAATTAAACTCATAATTGTAACATATATATAATTATATATGTTACTTCTATATAATTATATATGTTAATATATAATTATAAAGAAGTCACAATTAACGTTTCTATATATTTGCGTTTGTTTCGGATTCTAGAATTGATTCTTCATAAATATTTAATGAATATTTTAACAAATATACATTACATAATAGTAGCTTAAATTTAGCTACAATATTTGCTTAAATTCTAATGTGCTACAAGTTTGTATTATAATTGTCCTGAGCAAATAATGATTCTATATTCAAATTAAAAACTTACAATTCTCAAACATGAATTAAATCATTTTTAGATATTCATTTGAAATGTTTAAATTAATTACTGATAAAAAAACTCAATATATGCATTAGGATTTATTTTTATCAATTCATTAGCATTTTTAAGAAGATAAAATAAAAATTGTAGAAATTTTTAATAATTAAATATTATAATGTATCTGATATATAGATATTTTATTTCTTGATTTCGTTATATCTATATCTATATTATATCTATATCATTATCTTTGCTAATAGTTTTAAGTTACATTGAGCTTGAGATATTAAATGGATTAAATAAGCATTACATGTACTGTAAATTTCTTCTTAAATGTAATATATTTTTACCTGTTTTTCTGCGAAGTAAAAAAGTAATATCTTTTCAAAAAAGTTATTATCAAAGAAACTGGAATCAAGGAATATCGTACACATCGATTTAATCTCTAATAATGCTTTACTGAGTATTGCATCTGTTATAAACAAATTATCATTTATAAAATTTTTCGCTGAGATAAATTTCTTATAAATAACTGATTTTCTCCAAATGTAGAAAGCTTTCCACATTCGAAATATAATAAACGTCCTTAACTAGAAATAAAAAAGAATTATAAAAATATTTGATAAATATAAAGAAATAATAAAAGGGCAGTTATGTATACCTTTAATAATTTTAAATAAAAAATATATTCTCTTTCCCATTGCTCAATAGGAGTAAAGATCATTTCGTCTGGACTGTATTGGGTTACACCATTAGCACTGATAGTCATATAGATTTTTCCTACATCTTTATATGGAACAACTCTAAGTAATATTATTATAAATTATTTGTATGTTTTTAAAAATTTTTTTAAAGAACGGAAAAATAAAATTTTACTTTAACGCATAAGGGGTAAAATATTTCGAAGATGGTTCAACTGCATAAATTATATAAAAAAATCCTATTTTACGGTCCTCTCGTAATTGCCGTATTAATTCTAATTGATCAACGAACACTGGAGCATCGAAATCTTTTTCTTTTTTATATTTCCATGGAACTCGTTCTAAATCTCCTTATAACATAAAATGAAGAAGAAATGAAAATTTGTTAAAGATTAAAATTAGAAAAAAAATTATAAGAAAAGTAATATGCAACTTATGATTGTTTCAGACGAGACATCTTTTGTTAATGACTTTATCTCTTCTACTTTTGGTAATGAAGTAGTTGGTTTAAGAACTCGTTTCCTAATTTTTTCTTGTTGGGCGGCAAAACCAGTCTACGAACAATATTTTCTTTATATTTTTGAATAAAAATGAAGAATTGAAGAATTGATATTCTTACCAATGGCTCTCGAATTTCCGGTTTATATACTATTTTTTCGAGGAGCTTCTTATGTGGTATGAAAAACGGTATTTCATTCTTTCCTCTAAATCGAATATATAATTAATAATATAAATTAATCAATAATTTTTAAATATATATCTTTATCATTAATTTATATTAATTTATACATTATATTTATATAATATAAATATAAATTTAACTATATAGAGATTTTTATTTTAAAAATTTATTCTTTATATAATATAAATAATAGTATTAATTATATAATTTATTTTACGAAGATGAATATTATTATAAAATTAATAATGTTAAAAAAATTAATAATTTTGAAATAAAATTTTATATTACATTTTATAACTGATTGGAGGTGGCCGACATGCTCTATATTTTATTTTCTGCAGAGTATCGGACACATTAATATTTTCGTATTTCTTCTCCGATTTCTTAACTGTAGAATCATCTGTAATATCTTCTTCACTTGCTTTACGTTTATTTTTAAAATCCATATTTTTTTTATTTTCTATCAAAAATTATAACAATAACATTAAATCATTTTACTTCTATTTCTAACCATTTACTGACTAATCGTATCGATTAAACAAACGAAACTTTAATGAACATTGTGAGCTCCCTCTATTTTCATATTTATACTAAAATTTTATGTATATTATGTAATATTAAAAATTAATATCAATATTGATTGTTATACTTATTATAAATATAATCAAAAGCAAGATAAAATAAGATAAGAATTGAAGATCAACGCCATTTCTTAAATTCATTTAGAGAGGTATTTTTGTCATTCAAGAGATGACACTGACAGTCAATTCTTACTTTATTTCTATGTTTCACTCACGATTTGATCTTGTCTATATTTCTCATAAATATAAGACGAATAATATTTATTAATTAATTATAATTAATTATAATTAATCACAATTAATAGCATATCATTTTATTAAATAAAATACAATAGAAGTAAAGAAATTTTGTCTAATGCAAATTAGATTATAACTTATATTTATTAATTATATTTATATTTATTGATTATAATTTAATTTTTTAATTATAATAATTAATAAATAAATCTCAACTAACATTTCTATATCAATTTTTGTATTTATTTTGACCTCTAAAATTGTTTTCTATTAAATTGGTAATTGTCGCATGTGAGACGAAAATATTTTTTCAATATTTTATTATTGAAAAAATTTTGAATTTCAAATAATTAAAAAGATTTTATTATATTTTAGAAATAGAATGATAATTTAATTGTTATAATAATATTAATGACAATTTATTAATAATTAATTTAAAAAATTAAAAAATTAAATGAATAAATAAGTAAATGAAGAGTACTTACTTATAATAAAAATATTAATTTAGAATATATTATAAGAATAAGTAATTAGAAATTATCTATTATATAATTAAAATAATTAGAATTTATTTATTTATTTATTTAAATTACAATTCTAATATAAAGATATATTAAATATTTTTAATAATATATCTTATGAGAAAAATAAAAAGAACACTAATCACAAATCAATTGATATATTATTAAATAATAATATTATAATTAATAATTATATTTAAAACTTTATATAAACAATTGACATTTTTTAATACACATTTTTTAATCCTCATTGTATTAAATTAAATTAATTAATTAAAACTACTAAATAAATAAAAATACTAAAGTTAAAATACAAGCGAAGACACAAAGGATATCTATACATATCTATATTTATATAATAATACTTTATATCATGATTATAACAAATATTTATATATATTTTTATATTTCTTATTTTGCTATCTTTCAATTCTTACACAAAAATAATAAATAATAAAAATTAACAATAATTTATATATAATCTAAATTTTTCTATTATTATTATAATTTTTTTTATTAAAGACAGTTAATTATCAAATTTCCATTACAATTTTTTTCATCTCATTGATCATCTCTATTATCAATTTCATTTTGAATCGATATTGTCGCATATGATATAAAAATATTAACAGAGCTATCATTTAAATAAGTGATTTAAAAATATATTGAATAATGGATTTATTTTATCTTTGCTTTATGGTTCATTCCTAACAGTCGGTAATGTTGAAAATGATAACTAAAATGATAAAAAGATTCGAAAATATTTAAAACAGGATAAAAAATGCATTAAATATTAAATTTATTCATTTTCATTTCTTTTTAATAATGAAAATAAAATTTTCATTTATGTATTATTTTTGACATAATTATGAACTTATTATTATTATTATTAGATTAAACTTGTCTACATATCTTTTTTCAAATTCTCATAAATCTAAAATTTATCTTCAACAAATCATTCAAATATCATATTAAAAAATAATAATGAGTATTTTTAAAATATTATTACATTTTTTAAAGATTTTAAAAATTTTTTAAGCGGATATTTTCATATTATACTATGGCTTCTATAATTTATAAATACGACCATCTTCAATTCATATAGTTATAGGTTATCATGGCGAATACTTTCAGTCAAGTTGCAACTGCGCGAGGAATTATACATATATTAATATTGTGATTGTTGCAATATGTTGTATTTTATTGCTAGCAAAGTGCTTTCTACTTAAATTTCAATCTTGTTTGTCATTAAATTGTAAATCCACGTAATGCCGAAACGTAAAATTTCCTTTGTGGAATTTAAATCTTCACAAAACAGTAAGTTATTAATGTATTACGATCTTATTAACGAATATATTTATAATTGTAGTATTTGTAAATATATATTTCTGAATTTTTTTCTATATTTCAAATTATTATTAAATATTATATTTTAAATTTTAAATATTTTTGACCAAAATAAATTTCATATTATTCCATTCGAACTAAATAAATTTTAATGCAATGATTATTAAAAATATTATAAATAGTGGAATTAAAGTCTTTAAGTATTAAATTTTATAAATTTATTACTAAATCGATTATACGAGAATATAATATAAGTTTTTGTTAGCAAAAAAATTACAGAAAAAATATTAATAGAAATTATTTTTATTATTTCTGTTTATCTTCTTTGATTTGTTATTATATTATATGTTTATAATATAAAATATATTTATTTTTTATAAGTTAACTTTATTTTTTATTACTAATAAAATTAATAAAATATAATTAATTAATTGAAATATATTAATATGATTAATTATTACATTATCACAATATGAATTAATTATTACATATCAATTATTAAAAATAATCAATGAAATTATATAATAATAATTTATCTTTTTTATAATTTCAAGATAATGAAACATTATTTATGAAATTATTAATTTATGAAATTTTAAATAAAACTTGTAAATTTTGTATAGCTTGTCAATCTCTATATATAAGTAATTGTAATCTTTGCTGTTAGTTATGTTATGTATTCTATGTCTGAAATATTCTTCATAAAAGTATTCGATTTTAATCTAATATTATTAATTTAATGTTTATGTATATGTTAGCAAGTATTCTTATGTGGATATCTTTAGATTTTAGAATAAAATATTTTCGATTAAATGATAAATGTAATAAATTCAAAATTTTTATATTTTTTCCATGGAAACGCGAATTAATAGCTTAATTAGCAGTTAATTACTATAATTCTACTATTCAATTTTATTGCAAATTAATAAAAAATTAGAATTTATTATGAGTCTTATAAAATGCCTTACTCGTACGAAGCATTATTAAAATCTTGTCTTAAAAACGCCGTCTAATCTCTATTCGCGATTGCATAAGATTTCATTGCAGATTAGTCCTTGATGAAAATTTAAGGTAAATGAAGAAAAAGATTCTTTTCGTTTTGAACAACCCATTAAAATTAAATAATTTTATAATTGTATTTCAATGTTATATAAAAAACATATATATGACATTTTCTTTATTTTCTTTATTTTCTTTATTACATTATTTAAATCAATTTGACTATGTTTATGTCATCAAAATTTATTTGTTAATTTTTTTTATAATATAATTGAAATATGATTGAAATATAAAATATAAATTGAAATTTTATAAAAAAATTATTTGTTTATTAAATATAAAATATTATTTTTTTAAAATAATAATTGATAAAATAATATTTTTATTTAGTTGAAATCAATTGAATAAAATAGTAAAATAATTAACTTACAAATTGCATCAAATTGATTTGAAATCAATCATCACACATATATTATAACAAATCATAATATATATTATGATTGAATATTTTTAGAAAATTTTTATATAATTCTTGTAAAAAATGCAGTTTTATTTATTATATTTTCACAACATAAATAACAATAGCAGCATATATATTAGCTAATTATCTTAAATAAGTAAATAATTACTGTTAAACAAGTATAAAAAAAACAAGTAAAAAAAACACAAGGTTATATAAATGTCTCGTCAGTTTGATATGAAAAACTTAATAATTATATGTCTGTCATTGCAGTAATATTTTACCATTTTAATTGTAGCTGTAAATTTTCATTTAATTCAGTTATTTATAATATTCCAAATTTCACGTGCACGATATGACGTATTTTCGTAGTTAACCTTTACCTCAATGACTTTTGTTCAACAGTTATTCGTATTAAGTAATTACGTGCAATATAAAATTGAGACCAATGTACTAAATAATATTTATTGAATAATTTAATATAAAAAATAGAATAAAAAATTTTAAAACTTTTTTAAGAAAAATAAAATTTTAAAATATTATGAATTTTAAATAAAATGAAATTTTTAAAATATTGAATAAAAAAATAAAAATTATAAATAAATGATTCATAAATGACTTTAATAAACAAACTTAAAAAAATAAATTGATTATTAATTGATTCGAGAAATATAAATGTTTCTATGACGTACTATAAATACGTAATATATGGGTTAATAATATAAAATTAATTCATTTTATAATATATTCACATAAAGTGATGTTCTATAATCAATATCCTTATTATTTTTCTTTTGTATGATTATATATATTTGTTTTTTTTAGATTTTTTTGTTAATTTCTTTTTTTATATCATTAATTAATTATTTATTTTATAAATTTTTTGGTTTTATTTTTTAATATTAATAAAATTAATAAATTTAAAAATATTCAAATTAATTAAATTTTTTAAAATTAATATTCATTTGTTTTTTTTTCATTTAATAAAATGATTTATCAATTATATTGAAAATAAAATTAGTATATCAATTGAAACTAAAACTAGTCAATCAATTCTAATTATTTAATAGAAATAATAATAAAGATATTTAACAAAATATAGTCATGTAATTTGTTTCAGAAAAACTTTTTCATCAAGGTATTTAACCATTAGAATAAAAAAACTGCAGAGCTTTGTATCCGGGAAGTGACCCCGAAGACCTGACCACACATCCGAATATATTAAAATCTATTTTCCACAGTAAATACAAGAACACATCGAATATATTTTTGTGCACATTTCTTTTATATTTTAACATTGATATTAACATTGACGAAATGGACCGAATCTACGTTGATGAAGAAACTGGTGAGAGTATTAGTCTTCCAGCTTCCGATTGTGAGATTCGACAACTAGTTAGCTCGATAAATAATGCTGAAACGGGAGAACCGGAAATCAACGTGGTTGGTATTGAAACTATTAAGAGAAGAATACGTTTTCAGGTAATTATTTCAAACAATTTCCATAAAATACATATTATTATTTTTTTTTTTTATGAAATAATAATGAATGTTATGATACAGTGATTTATTACATAATTCGATGTATTATGTAAATAAATAAAGAGAAGTGTGAGAATCTAAAACTGAATTTTTTTAATTATATTTTTAAAAATATATGGTAAAAATTGGATAATTGCATAGGACAATTTGCAACGTAAAATTGTTTATTTTTACAAATAAGAGATTCTCCTTGACACGTGAAATAAACAATATGTTTGTTTTATTTTCTTTTTCTTCATTTTCTATCCTTTTCTGTTGTGTAAGATAATGAAAGAATTCAAAGAAAATTCGAGCTTTGGTTGAGCTATATTAGGATTAAAAATTAATTTTACCATTTTAAAAATATTTGTTTTTAACTCGATTTTCCAACTTCGAATTTATCCAATTTTTATCGTATTACATATAATAAAAAATTAATATAATTACAATGAACTAATAAATACTAAATTAATAAATTTTAATAATCTAAATTTTTTAGATTCCGAAAGAAGTGAAGGAAACATTATTGGCTAAGGACGGTTCTTTAAGAAAAAGTGAGAATTTAATGGAATTAGAACCTGTTCCTGTTGGAGCATCATTTGGTCAAGTCAATCCAGTTTGTTTGTTTTTTCTTGCTGTTCTATGTTTCCGCTGGTTCTTGCCTGTATTAATGTTGCTTGAATTGTCATTGCACATTTGGGCACATCATAAGAATAAAATGTTAAAGGATGCCAATGTTTATTTTCGTTCTCCGTTTCACGGAATATCATCCGAATTTTGCGCTCTATGTCAAAATGAAATGTGTATGAATCGTGTTGGTAAAATGCAACAAATACGAATGCACAAATTTTTACGACAATGCAATTATATGAAAAGAGTGGTAACGTGAATTATTTATGATTATTAAAAAAATCATTATACAATATTGATTAAAATTTTTCAATTGAAATATTAAAAAAAATTATTAAATGGAAATACTAAAGAAAGTTAAATTGAAATGAAAAAAACGAATAAAACATTCCTACACCGCCTTGATAAAAACATATTAAATATTTTAATATTAAGAAAATAAAAAATTTATGTAATTTCCATTTATTTAGATTTTAAATAAATTAATTGAAATTAATAATGAAAATAAAAAAATTTTAAATAATAATGGTGCAGGACAAATATTTTAATATTTGAGATATATATATATATGATTAAAAATAATAGTATAACAATATTAATATATAATTATAATTATTATTGTTACATATTAAAATTACAACGATGAAAAAAAATAATTATTGCATTACCATTTTTTTTAAAAAACTATTTATAAAATTTATTCTATAAATGTAAAAAAATAAGTTACTCTTTTAAATCACGTTCGAGTAAATATTTTGTATATGATGAATTTTGTCACTTGTTATGGATACAATAAAGTGTTATATAATATTTAATTATCTATGTTTTTAAAATAAAATTATTCAGTCAATATGTGTCGAATTTATAAATCCATCTCTTAGATCTATAATATACCTTTAAATTTCGCCCAGCGCAAACATTCATAGATTAAATATTAAAAGATAATCAAATATTTATAATATCTAACAAATATTTATAATACTATAACAAGCTAATGTTGAAGAATTTATTTATTCGTTTTAAACTCATTGAAAACAATATTATTAGCGTAAAGCTAAAATTTCTTTTGTTGCAATTTGACACAAAACATTGAAATTACATGAAAGATGAACTCGCCAAAACCGGCATTTATTCCATACATAAGCAGGATAATTCGGACTTTGTATGCCATGAAAGATTCGAGCGACTGCACGTCCAGTGAAATTATTATCACGATAACTTACAATCAAATTACGTACATCACAAGCTATTTGTGCTTCGTTTTCTATTATATTCTAAAAAAAAATAAGAAATATATACATTTTATAGTTCCATGATACCTACTATATGATTTAATAAAAATACTGAACATTATATATATATATATATAAACTTACCTGTTTGTTGAAATCGATATCTAATAAAACTTCTCCGTCGAAGTAACTGCGAATAACATCTTTTAATCGATTAGAATTATTAGTTATATTATCATTCACTATTAGACACTCATTTATAGATGATACACTGAATTTATGAAGTATAACACCAATTGTTTCAAGTTGTTGTAACGCTGAAGATTCTTGAGATTGCACACGGTAAACTAAAGCATCAAGTGCTTCATCTAGTTCTAATTCCGTTAAATCTCCTGGAGCTTTTACTCTTAAACCAAGTTTATCATATTTTACCGAAAGAGTTGAACGTTTTGGAATCCCATTAACTAGGAAAAAAACAAAATCAAGGTATTTTAATTTTATTTTTATATATAACTATAATTTCTCAATTAATACAAACCTGTTTTCCATTCCAAATTTTTAAGATGGCTTTTTACTACACCACTATCCCAACCTATAGCAGATGCAACATCCACAACAGGAAATTCAATAACATTATCTTTTTCATGAGAAATACCATTTTTTAAATCTAATGCTATTGCCATAGCAAGTGGTGGTGACTGAAAAATTGATTAAATTTTTTAATATTAAATAAATAAACTCTTATTTCTATAGAAATATATGTTATATACGCACTGTTTGAGCAGCTTGTTTTAATCCTTGAGATCCATTATAACTTGAAACTCTAGCTCTAACATATACGGATGAAAGAACACTAACAAATTTTTTAGGATGTAATTCAAGATAACATAAAAGTGTTGAAATTATTTCTTCTGAAATATCTAAAGCCATAACTGTGTCATCAACTGGTATAGCAACTTCATGACCAGGACATCTACTATTTGCTATTTTTTCTCGTAATTTTGAACATGAACACGAAACAAAAACTTTTTGAAGTAAACGTCTAATTGTATGCCTATCTACTCCATTTGCATAAATGTGCCGACGCAATTCCAACTTATCCTTATCTTCCTAAAATGAAAAAATTTTGTATTTTGGATACAAATCAAACATATGTACAAATTTATCTAAGTATTTAAATTTAAATTTAAGTACTGTTGGATTTAAGAATAAATGACAATGCGCTATAAGTCCATCTCGTCCAGCCCTTCCAACTTCTTGAATGTAGTTTTCGAAACTTCCAGGCATATTATAATGAATAACAGCACGAATATCTGGTTTATTAATACCCATACCAAAAGCTACAGTAGCAACAACAATTCTAGTTTGTCCATTCATGAATGCTTTCTGTACAATTTTTCGACGATGAGCTGATAAACCAGCATGATATGCTTCCGCAATAAAAGATATTTTATTGTTTGGCTTCTCAGAATTATTGACATTCTATCAAAAAATAAAATATATTATTATTATAATAATACTATTAAAATCAAACTATATTGATAATAGGAACCAAAATACCTGCAAGGAAATCCTCAGAAAACCGGCAATTCTTACGCATTCTTCTCGACGAGTACAATAAATAATAATCGAATTACATTCTTGAAATCTTTCACTTTGTAATAATTTGATTAAAGCCTGATCTCTATTTTCATCTTTAGAAATTGTTAACAATAGATTTTTAGGTATTGGAATATCAGAAATAACACCTGCAATTCCATCTTGTATACCTAAATGACTTACTATGCTTTCTGCTGTAGCTTTTCTTGCAGTAGCAGTAAGAGCTAATACTGTTTTAACACCTAATTTTTCTTTAAGTACTCGACAAACCATAAGATAAGATGGACGGAAATTATGAGACCATTGCGAAATGCAATGAGCTTCGTCTATACATGCAAAAGCAATTGGTGGTAGCTCCCTTAACAATGCTCCAAATCCTGTTGATTTTTCTCCAGCTACTACAGCTTCTGGAGAGATTAGCAAAATATTTATTCTTCCTTGTTTGATCATTTTCATAGTATTATCTCTTACTTTTTGAGTTTGATTAGTATGCAAACAAGCTGCTGATAAAAAAGATGGAACACCAGTTACTTGATCATCCATTAAGGATACTAATGGTGATATAACTAAAGTAATACAATTGGAATATTGAGAATAAAGATATGCAGGTAACTGGTAACATAAAGATTTTCCGGAACCAGTAGATAAAGTTACTAAAGTTGATTGACCAGAAAGTATTCTCATTATAGCTTTTTCTTGGCCATGTCTAAACGTTGTGTGACCAAATTTTTGCAATGCATCAAAAACTTCAGTTGGTGTTTCTATAATTAGAATAATTAAAATAATTAATTAAAATTATAATAAGTATACAAGTTAGAAAGTTTTACACTTATTACCTATACATGATTGATCGTCCTTAAGTTTATACAATGGCTGTACTGTACCAATTTCTGGTGGTAATAATTTTTGTATTAAATCATCAGGAATTTTATGTCCGCATAAAATTTCCTAAAAATTTGATAAAATATAGAATAATCATCATAATATTATAAAAAAAATATTACAATTATAAACAAGTAAATTTATACTTCGTCTTCAATAGGTTCCCATAAATCGTCATTATTAGTTTCATCCTTGATTTCATTTATTGTTGATTCATACTGTATTTTAGAAGAAAACGATGGTATTTCTGGCAAACGATCGATTCTATTAGCATGTGCTATAATTGCATTTTGACTGGCCATTTGTTCAGCTTCTTCTAAAGTTGGAAATTGTGAACTTTCATCTATCTCATTTATTGGTATTAAATCGTCATTCTTTGCATTTGGACAATTTTTTGCAAAATGACCGATACTTTGACATTTAAAACAAGTCGATACATTATTTTTTTCAACAAAATCAGCTACTGCTAAACTATTTTCACTAGATCCAAGATCTTTTTTTCTTTGTTTCCATTGGTTTTTTTTATATTTTGAGAAATTAAAATGTTTTTTACCACGCACAAATACTTTTTTCTTTAAATTTATTCTAACAAAATTTTCGTTTGTTTTTCCTTCTGCTATTTTCTTTTCCAATTTTTCTTTATCTGTTAATTGTCCTCTTGATTTTATTATAGATTTAATAGAATTTAAATCATTAGTTTTTAAAGAAACAGATTTGGTAAATTGTTCAATAAGATCTCCTTGACAATTTTTATATATTGCAAAACGTGGAACAGCTTCTAAAGTTTCTATTCCATATATTTCAGATTTTTTATTTTCATAATTTCGTGATTTCGTAGTTTCGTGATTTACATTGCCAGTTTCAAAGAAATCATCTTCATCTTGTATATCTTTTTTTTTCCTAGAAGATCTTTTTCTAATTCTAGTTTTTATTTCCTTTGTTGATGATTCTTTGGTAGATTTATTCTTTCTTGTACTTATTCGTTTTGTTTTTGATATTTTTTTCTTGTTTTTCTTTTTCTTTTCATCATTTTCAAGATCTGAATCATCAGATGAGATATGTTTAAATTTTCTTTGTATTTTGTGATTTACTAATCTCTCTTTAGATGATTTTTCTGTATTCTCTTCATCATGTATATTTGTTTCTATTTTTGGTACATATTTTATTTTTTCATTACATTTGTCAATATTATTAAACAAATTTGTTTGAATATTTATATTATTATTTATACTATTATTTTTACTTAGAACTACATTATATTTTTCTTCATTAAAATTCGTATTTACATCTTCAATAGAATGTATTGTTTGTACATTTATTTTACTTAGTGTTGAAGTATTTGTACAATTTTCAAGACACATTCTTTTGAAAGAATAAGTTTCTTGATCACTAAATTCTTTTTTAAAATTTCTGATACGTTTATTTTTATGTCCTTCTTCTGAATCACTATTACAAACAAAATCTTCTTCATCTGATATCTCAAAAGATTTTTGTGGTAATGACAATATTATATTTTCTTTTGGTGAATAAATACTTGATTCTGTTGATTCAATTCCAGAATCACTTGTTCCAGAAAGTCTCTGTGAATCAAATACTGGATATTCCAAATTATTTTGTTTGGCACATCTATTTAACCAACCAGGATTTAAATTTCTATTAATAGTATGTCCCTCAATTAATTGTTGTACTGTACCAATTGAATGAATTATAGATGTAGGCTCCATATAAGTTATTTTCATTGACTCACCAAATATAGATTTTGTTTCTTCAATATTAGAATTATCTTTATTATTTAGTTCTTTGTTTGTATTTTGTTCCAATGTATTTGAGATAATGTCATTATCTTTTTCAGTCTTACTTTTTATTTTTGTTGCAGATAATGATTTTCTAGGATTTCTTTTTGTAAAGTTTGAGTTTGTAAATTTATTTTGTGATAATTGGAAAGATGATGATTTACCTATAAGTAATGTCTCTTTTTTTTGGGGCATCTTTTCATTGTTTCTTTGCAAATGATTGCCCCATACATCTTTTACATTTTTACATTCTTTTTCATCTATTGTGATATTATTATATTGATTTTGATATTGATTTTGATATTTCTCTGGATCTATATTTTCTGTATCTTTCTTCATATTTTCTATTTCCTGTAAACTTGTATTTTTTATATCTTTTTCATTTGTATTTTCCATATCTTTTTTATCTTTTTCATTTGTATTTTCTACAATTTGTTTATTATTATCCTTTAAAGATTTATTTTCATCTTTAATTTCTTTAGGTGATATATACATTGTAGTTTTTGTAGGAATATTATTTTCTACTTCATCAGAAAATGAAATATCTGTAAGTGTTTCTTCTAAAGCACGTGTTTTTAACTTCCAATACATTTTATAAGATTCTTTGATTTTCATGTCAGCTTCTTTAATATCATTCTAAAAAAATAAAAGATTATTTTTATATTATGTTCTTATAAAATATAGTATAATTATAGTATTATTTTATTTAATATAGTTATTACAATATTAATATTATATAAATATATATATATATATATACATAAGTAATATATATAAAAGTATATACCTATAAATATAAACAAAAAAATATAAAAAAAAATAAAAATAAATAATATTCAAATTGTTTTAATGAAATATCTTATTAAATAACAATATATAAAAAAAATATTACTTATTGAAGAATAAATATTGTATTTGAAATTAAAATTTATATTATTGAAAAAATTTGATTAAAAATAATTGTTTATCATATTTAATATTAAAATAAGATCGAAAAAATGTTAACGAAACTTGATATTATTAAAATATCTGTAATTGAATAAATTTTAAGTCATAAATCATATTAGATTAAAATTTAAAATACCTTATTTGGTTTACGTCCATGTTTCGCGGTAAAGCGACTTTCCCATAATTTAACACGAATTTTATATTTTTGATACTCTGTTTTAAATACTGGATCTTCTAATATTTCCATTTTTTAGTCACTCAAAAGGAATATATGTATGAGAAAATATACATTAAATTATAGGTTAACTATTATCGAATACGATAGATTAGCCTAAATTGAAAATTATAATATTACGGTGCGTAAATAAAACCGTTACTTTTAAAATAAAATCACATGATGTCATTCACATAACTTGCTCAAATCCTAATTCATTATTCACAAAAACTTTTTCTTTTTTTCTTTATAAAAATAAAATTAAAATTCGTTGCTCAAGAGCGGGTAATTCGCTAATAAAGAAGAATATGGTAGTAGGATATTTAAATTTGATTAATAGAATTTACTTGAAAATTAATAAAAGATAACATAATTTGTAACTTTTCTATTTATATATAAATAGTAAATATTTCTAGATACGATTTTCCAATATTTTATAATTTAATCAGACAATATTAAAAGTAAAGAAAAGATCATCAATAGAAATTCATGCATAATATTATAATTTTTAACATTTAAGATTTATAAAAGATTTATAAAAATATTAAATTAATGATTTAATTATTGATTGATATCTTTTCCTACTAATTTATATCTAACATGTTATCGCATAATATAGATCGCCAATTGCGGATCAACTATCTTTCCGATGGGTCTCTAATTGAACGGTGTCGCCAGCTGACGGTAGTCTGTAACATCAGTGTAAGGCAAGATGGCCGAGCGGTGGTGACGGGTCGTGGAATGTACGGCTGGAGAATTGGTGATCTCGGCGCGGATGGCTTAGTGATGGCCGAGTTCAACATCGATATCGGCAAGCTCCCTGAGGACGTACGGGAGAAACTTGCTGAGCTGGATCTTGAGTTATCTGAAGGTGAGTGGACAGCTTTTCTTGATGCGCCGCTATGCAAACCCTTTCTGACTCACCCCGTGCACATAAGAAAGAATCCCCTAGTCCCCGTTGATAAAATCGATAATAGCTTCACTGTTGCCATTTTACTCCCTCATAACTACATACATTAGCTTTCAAAATATCTTTTCCTGCTTGAGCAAGGCTTTTTTTCGAATCCTGTCAAACATTTATATTCGCGAGATTTGAAATTCCTTCAAACGAGTCTATTCCAATCGCGACGGATACTCGAGTCTATCGACCGCGCCTCACTCTATGTATATTGTTCTTTACTTTTCATTTTTGGATAATTGATGACCAATATTTTTGTCATTTTTAATATAGTTTTAATTTTCTACTCGTAATCTATGATTCTGTTTGAATAAACATCAACACGAATCTTACAAAATCTGTTTATACATCGCTCGAATCATATTCAGTTTATCAGATTCTTCAACAGATTAAGATGTTATCAATGTTCTTTTTTTTCTTGAAAAAATGAAATATAAAAATATTAGATAATTTTTTAATCAATTAAGGTTTTAAAGAGAATTTTGTTCAATTTCGAGAAATTTAAGGAACACGTCATTGACATTTTGTATGGCGTACGCTTCAAAATCTATGTATATAATATATTTCAAAATGTCCTGATGGACCTTATACTTGTTCAATTAAAATGTTTCTATTTAATATCTTATATAATATTAAACATAGAATCGAGGAGAGAGAATACAATATCAGATTTTTTTTCTATTATTTTCTACAAGTTTATTGTTATTTGAAGTTTTGTCATTTATAATATCCTATCGATTAATTTTTCCTCTTATTCACAAATATTTTTATATCTGTTATCTTTATTCCTAACTTAATAAAAATCTATGCATATGTATACTTTTTTTTTTTTATTCAAATGTCAACTTATCTCTACTCTCTACAAGAATTTTTTCTTGAATTTTGACATTCACTATAATCTTTCCATTTATTTGACGGTGACAAAAGTTAACAACTAGTTCGCAAATTATAGATTTATAAATAAAGATCGAAGCCAGATTAGCCAAGAATGTTTCAAAAAGAACCTACGATTTCTTAAAATATCTCTTATAAAGTTGAACGAGTATGTATATGTATATATATGCTGTTCGTTCTCAAGGAATTAGTTGAAGAAGTTCGCACAAGTGTCTCATGGCAGCGCTATTCAACATTACAGTGAAGTGCTATTATACTAGCTGTGAAGTTTCAATTGTTTTACGTTTTCATCTGATCGACGATGATCGGTCGCTGACGATTAACGTTTATTTGCATTCGTTGTTAGAATGGTTACGCTGCGATTATTGCGACCGGTTTTTCCTGCATCCCCTTTGGTAAACGCTCGTCATTCGCGATTTAAAGGGATTCTAGTCTCATGGCCGTTCACTTTCCTGTGCTTATGAGCTTGATCATTCTTGGAAAAATACAGGATACAAATTGTGATTTTACTGCAGTTTTTTAGCATAATTCATCGCATTGTGATGTATTAAAAAAATAATAAACAACGCTTCGTGGAAATTCGCAATAAATTTGAATGATGAAGTGTGGAAATTAATAAGTTTAAAAACGATGATAATTAAATATAAAGAATCATTTTATATTGAAAAATAGTTTTAATCGCGAAATTTTTGATATATTTCGATGAGATTCGAGATTCGAAACGATAAAGTTAAGGATTAGGAATAAATGTATACATATATATATATATATATATATATGTCATTTCTAACACAGTATCCTCATGTCGCAACGTGACGTCAACTGAAGACGGGTCACCGGTCATCTTTACGAAGCTTTATTTGCATGTGAGGTAATTGCGCAGATTACCCATTCGTGCGTATTTCAATTGAAACCAACTTGAGAGAAATTCTGGACACTAATAGGTGGCGACATTTGTATACTTGGGATATAAAAAAGAATATAAAAAATATAAAAAATCTATCTGTATTTTTATATCCTATGTACTGTATTTACATAATATAAATTAGAATAAGAATTTGAAAAGAGTTTCGACAAAATTGCTACCGCTTGCATGTGACGAACTAATCCCAGTTTCGTGGCTTATTCATATGGCTTTATTTATCGTCCGAGCTTGCAAGCAGCAGCTCTCGTTTCGCGTATTCGGTAGATTGGTGTCGTTTAAATGAGAAGGTATTCCATTTCTCGAATCATGTGCATGTAGTTGGATTTTAGTTTACTGTAACAATTTAGCTTCTCTTGGAAGTCGATGGCGAAATTTTTTTCTTGATGTTATAAAGCGTATATAGCGTATATCTGATAAAAATTGACTGATCTAAAAGAAAAATTATCAAATATAATGGCATATTTTACATGTTATTAAAAATAATATTACAATTATTGTCTTTTATATTTCATTTCTATTTACTCTTTTTTTTTTTTTTTTTTTTTTTTTTAATTTTTTTTAATTTTTGAAACGCGAAATTGTTACAGATACATTTTCGACCCATAATAGAATTATAAAATTTTTGATTATAAAATTTTATACGAGAATGTTATTTATTTTATTTATTGTGAATAATTGATATTTGATTTATTCATTTTATTATAATTTAAAGATGCTCTAAATATCAAAATAAGAAGTTTCCTTGGAACACGAAGAATGAATCATGTTCCATTTTTTATTTTTTTTTTTTATTACAAGTGAATAAATATCACACTGATTATTACATAGAACATTGTTCCAATTTGTAAGGCATTACTTCATCCGACAATTATACACTAAATTGATGCAATCGTAATGACAATTTTTTTGAAATAAAATCGTCATCACGTGACCCTAAACAATTTTTTTTAAACAATTAACATTTCTATCCTTTCTTTACATATTCGTGTTCATTTTACTTGATTTCGTTTCTATCGAATTCACGCCTCGATTCATTCAGGGAAATTAATCGACCCTGTAACCGACAGCGTTAATATAATTTCTGTATGATGTAACAAGACATTGTTCGCTCATTTATTCTACGATACGATTTGTGCATGAGTCATTAAAGCCGAGTTTAGTCTAGTATGCCCGGCACCTGTTATCTAGCCGCTCCACCGATGCGCGGATAGCATTTTACACTCTTTATAATTCTGGTTAATTGTTTTCTTCGTTTAACAGTTCGTTTTTTAAACTAAATATTTTAATTAACATCCATGACGCTCATCAAAATAATTACACGAACATGGATTGCATAAATATAGTATATACAAATCAGTCTCGTTTTCTAACCCAAGATTTATATTTCTAAGAATATGAACGAAATATGAACGATGAAAAAAATATACAAGTATTTATAAAAATATGCGCTTTTGGAAAATCGATTGTGGGTAAACAAAAAAAAGATTTTGATATCCAAAAATATCACTTTTTTTAAATATCTTCAAGTTATAAACGATTTAATTTATTATAAATAATTTATATAATTTATTATAAACGATTTAAATTTAATAGAGATTTATAGACTTATATTATATATTATTTATAGATTTTATAGATTTATAGAAATTTAGACAATTATATCATATCTTTTTAAGAGAATTTACTCATATCATTTTGGATTTTCTATCTTAGAGATAAATATGTAAGTAATTTTAAATATTATTTTTTTTTATTTACAAAGAATATAAATAAATAAAGTTTTAAAAATATTTATCAAAAAAAAATTGGATAAAATTATTCGCGTTTATTAAATGTTATTTAATGTATAAAAATAAAAAAAGAAAAAAATATTCTTTTTGTAAATTAATAAAAAAATATATTTTTTTAAATTTCTAAGACTTTAAATATGCTAATAAAATTTTAATAAAATAAAATGACAGATTTATATCTTTTAAATCGTGAAAAGATTTAGTTGGAGATTTTGCGATACTGTTATACAATACTATGTGAATTGATCAGCTGATTGTTCTTCATCTTACTTTCTTTAGTGCAGAATTAAATTGTTTATAATTTAATAAGTACTCGATTTGATATTTTTGTGTTTATTTTGATATTTAAAGTCGAGAGTTCAAAGATCGATTAGAAATAAATTAATATTTTCTAAAAAAAAGAACATAAAGATTAGATTAAGGCTAAATCATTAAATCAATTATTACGCTAGTTTTTTTTATTTTTTTTACAATTTATACGTTAGCTACTGTTTCTATTAGTAATCAATCTATAAATGATAAAAATTTTATTATTAGGATTTTATTTACAAAGCTCTATAAATAAATAACCTAATTGGATTCAAACATTGTATTTCAAAGAGTCACTTTGCAACATATTATTCTCGTATATATGAGAATTATTAATTTTATCAATTATCAGTTTTTCATCGTCAAATGTTAATTTAAGAATTCTCATAAATGAAGATAAATT